TTGGGGGCTCCAGAACTGGATGCAATGCTCCAGGTGGGGATCTCAGCAGAGCAGAGGAGCAGAATCACTTCCCTCGACCTGCTGGCCACGCTTCTCTTGATGCAGCCCAGGATACGGTTCTTGGCCTTCTGGGCCGCCATCATTCATAAAAATATTGAACAGCCTCTAGAATTGAGCCCCAAGAACACTGCTGGTGACTGGTCACCAGCCAGATGTAGCCCCATTCACTACAACTCTTTAAGCCCTGCTGTTCCTCCAGTTCTTCATCTGATGTACCAGGTACCTCCTCATCTCACAGTTGGGCAACTTGTCAGAAGAATGCTGTGAGGATGGTTTCAAAGGGCTTACTAAAATTCAGAAAAACTACATCCACTGCCTTCCCTTCATCCAGTAGGCAGGTGAACTTATCGTAGGAGGATATCATTTAAATGGGACTTTCCCTTTGTGAGCCCATGTTTACTGTGCCTGATGATTTTATTGTTCTTTGAATGGCTTTCAATAGCACCCAGCATGATCTTCTCCATAGTTTTTCCGGATACTGAGGTTAGACTAACAGGTCTGTAGTTTCCTGGGTCTTCCCTTATGCCCTTCTTGTAAATTGAAATAACACTGGCTAGCTTCCAGTCAGGGAGGTACCTCCCCAGACTGGCAAGATGATCAAGGTGGGTCCTGCTCTAACATCCACTAGCTCCTTCAGTACTCCGAGGTGCATCCCATCAGGCCCTGTGGACTGACAGCTGTCCAGCTGATGGTCCCTTCCAGTTTCAGTGTCCACAAGTGGGAAGCCACTGTTCCCTCACTCGGGGTCCTCTGCCTCAGGGGACCAGGCAGCCCAAGTATTATCAAAGACTGAAGCAAAAAACCCATTGAATGCCTTCGTTTTTAATTAATCCCTATTAGTCAGGTGACATATTAGTCTTTGACAGCTATCAGTCTAATGTTTCCTTAGACCTCCTCTTGCTGTTAATGTACTTGAAAAAGCCATTCTTGCTGTCTGACACAACGCTGACCAGTTTCAACGCTAGTTCAGCTGTGGCCTTTTGTGTCTTCTCCCTGCACGTGCAAACTACAGCTCTGTAGTCTTCCTGTGAAGCCTGACCTTGCTTCCAGAGATCATACAATTTCTTTTTCCTTCTGAGTTCCAAGAGGACTTCCCTGTTCAGCCAAGCTGGTTTGCCCCGCTTTCTTGGTTGCAACACCATGGAATTTCCTGCTCCTGTGCTTCTAACAGGTGGTTCTTAAAAACTGACCAGCAGTCATGGACCCCTAAGCCCTCAAAAGCAGATTCCCAGGGAACAGTGCTGAGTAGCTCACTGAGTAGCTTAAAGTTTGCTCTCTTGAAATCCAGGGCAACAACTCTTGTCTGTGTACAAAATAAAACAGAAATGTGGGGATGGCAGGAGAAAGCAGAGTGGTATGTAATTGCAAAACTAAAAGTCATGTAGCTTCTACTGACAGTTCAAATGTGTTCTGGGATTTCATTTTTCACCCTTTTGTAAAGCTTAGTTTTATTTGTATAATAGTACACAAAAGTGAAATTATGTAAGGCTTACTAGTCTGTGCCTTAAAGCTAAATATTTGAAGTAGCATTTGTGTGATTTGACACCTCTCCTGTAAACTTGTCACCTTTTTTTTTCTTGTGGTTGGAAATTGGATGGTTGTATTCCTTTTTTCCAATAACTGAAATACCACTTTTGTACATATTAAAATATAACTAAACCACAGCACCATTTGCAGAGTGATCTATGTTACGTGTATCAAATCTTCGTGGTTAATAGCGTACCTCAGCTTCTATGTATTACTTTCTGTAGAGTGTTATCTTTGTGGTCTTGTTTTTAAGATGTGAAAATTGTTTACTTTCCCTCAGTATACCACAGAATGAAGTTGGAGCTCTTGCTTTGTGAACAAACAGCAGTGTAGAGTGGGTCAAATATGACTTAACTGTCAATATTTCACAAAAGCTATATTCAGAGAATATTAAGGGTGCCAAACCAGACACTGAGAAGCTAACAAGTAACAAGTAAAACCAATTGAGTGACCTTCTTTTTTTTTTTTTTCTCCTTCTGGATGCCATGCGGCAGCTTTCAGTGGTTATAGGATGATGTAATTTTCCTTCCCCTGCAGCTACACCCCCCATATCCCTGTTGCTTTTGGTGCTTGGAGGAGAGGCTTGTTGTAGGAGGAAACTTTCAATGCTGCTTTTTATTTTTGTATGCTTATTATGCTACCTCTGATGTTGTTTACTAAATGTACTTCAAATGCTTTCCTGTGTATGGAACTAGTTACAGCTTCAGTGTTTAAATCCCTTACCAGTGTTAGCAGTTTATTATTATCACCACATCTTTCTAAAAATACCGCTGGAGTGGTAAAAATGGCATTGTCACAAGTTTATGTTGAATCCAGGCTTTCCCCAGCAGGCCTGTTGGCTTTTGGCAAGGCTGAGTCAGGAGACAGTAAGGTTCAGTAGGACTCCCTTGGGGCGCAGACCCTGATACTGCAGCTTTTGTAGAGAGCTTTGATGGAGAGAGCTTCCTCTGTCCCCACTGCCTGCTCCCCTGCACACTCCCACCCCCCCTTTCTCTTCTCTTTCTGAAGAGCAAGAGAAGCCATAGTCATAGAACATTGTGAGTTGGAAGGGACCCACAAGGATCATCAAGTCCAACTCCTGCCCTAGCATAGGACAATCCCAAGATTCAGACCATGTGTCTGAGGGCACATGTTGTCCAAATGCTTCTTGAATATTGTCAGGCTTGGTGCCATGGCTACCTCCCTGGGGAGCCTGTTCCAGTGCTCCACCACCCTCTGGGTGAAGAACATTTTCCTAATGTCCAACTAAACCTCCCCTGGCACATCTTCCTGCCATTTCCCCTGGTCCTATCATTGGTCATGAGGGAGAAGAGATCAGTGCCTGCCCCTCCTCTTCCCCTTGTGAGGAAGTCAGACTGTGATGAGATCTCCTCTGTCTCCTCCAGGCTGAACAATGCAAGTGACTTCAGCCTCTCCTCATATGCTTCCCCTCTAAGCCCTTCACCAATTTAGTGGCCTCCTCTGGACACTCCCCAGTAGCTTTATATCCTATTTATACTGTGGTGCCCAAAACTGCCCCCAGTACTCGAGGTGAGGCCGCACCAGTGCAGAGCTGAGCGGGATGATGGCCTCCCTCGGCCAGCTCGCAATGCAGTGCTGGATGCACCCCAGGACACGGTTGGCCTCTTGGCAGCCAGGACACACTGTTGGCTCATGTTCATTTTGCCATTGACCAGAACCCCCTGGTTTGTTTTATTTTGTACACAGACAAGAGTTGCTACCCTGGATTTCAAGAGAGCAAACTTTAAGCCCCTCTCTGCAGGGCTGCTCTCCAGCCTCTCGTTCCTCAGTCTGTGTGTGTGTGCAGGGTTGTCATGTCCCAGGTGCAAAATCCAGCACTTGCCCTTGTTAAAATCCATACAGTTGGTGATTGAGATCTACAGGAGCTGGGCTAATCTGTAATTTCAGTAAATTCATACTGTCTTGCTGATATATCTGTATAATACCAACATAGGAGTATAATCATCACAGCTTATGGACCTGATATGGACTATCTGATGGGCATGTTTTGAATGGGCGTGGGTTATCTGAGGTTCTGGGTTGCAAACAGGAAGAAAGCTGTCTCTGTAGGAGAGAGAAATAATAAATTAAAAAAATAAAAATACTTTCTACCAAATGGACTAGTTTGTCACCAGTATGAAGACATGAGCAAAGTATTTTTTATTTTTATGTCTAGTTTTTCCAGTCATTTTTAGCATGTTGCTTTTCCCAAATAATTTAGAAATGTATTTGGCTGATCTTGTTATCTGTTTATCAAAGTACAATTGTTCTGTTTCTTATAGTGCCTTCACCAACACAGATTGTAGTAACATCTGAAGATTTCAAAACTGTCTTGCATTGGCAGTACCCACCGATGTCTGAAACTCCTCATTTTATTGTGGAAATCAAGCCTTACAAGTAAGTTCTTATTCTTTGGTCATTTCCTGTACCTGATACTCTCTAGAAGCACATAAAAGCAATCAGTCCATGGCAAATTCTTCTGTGTGTTGTAGTCATGTAGGGTGAAGGTTGCCTAAGTGTAACTTAAGCCAAAATTTGTCAAATAACAGGGTGGTTGAGGTTGACAGGGACCCGCCCCTGCTCAGGCAGGATCACCTAGAGCCTGTTGCCCAGGACCATGTCCAGATGGCTTTTGAATATCTCCAGGAATGAAGACTCCACAGCCTCCCTGGGCAACCCATACCAGTGCTCGGTCACCCTCACAGATGTTTTGTCACAGGCAGTGTGTGGTACAGTATTGTGCAATTGAAATTGTATTAACTATTACTTGTTCTGTTTTACAGTTTAGGTTACTATAAGATCGTCTCAACTTGTGTGAACACTTCAGAGAATTTTTGTGATCTCTCAAGGGAAATAAGTGAGCCTTATTCCTCTCACTGGCTTCGAGTTAAAGCTGTTGTTGGATCACAACAGTCTGAATATGTGGAGACAAAGGAGTTTATTTTGCAAAAGCACGGTAAATTCCATCATAAACTAAGCTTCGTCATTTTTTTCCCAAAATTTAAAAAGTTTGTAATTATCCTTTTCACCATATTATTGTGTCTCATTTGGGCAGGAGTCCAAGATGAAATGAAGCATAATGGGTGTTCAGTAGGAACTTCTGTAGTTCTGCCTCTGTAGCAACTTGTTAGCCCTGTCACTATGATATTGGAATATTTTTTCCAAAACTTCTAAGGGCAAGAAAGTGATGCTGATGGTGCACTCTGTGCATCCTTCCCATATTCTTGCCTGCTGTCCCAGATACCAGTTTAGGGTAGGAAACTGCCACTGGAAGCTATGGACCTTTAGGCATCATTGAAGTAGTATTCACGTGGTTGGTGATGCCTTGCTTGACACTATAATCCCATGTACTGACAGCTTTGGCTGTCTAGATACTATGTAGAAGCTATGGGAGTCTGCTGTAGCTGGATGACTAAGTTACTCACTCTTCATGTAAATCCTTTGGGCTACTTTGAGATAAATCAGTTTTTCACATCAGTATTGTAAAAGTAAATCTTGTGTCTAGACTCCAGGCCAACCTGTCCAAAGCAGTGGGGCAGGCCCCAGCATTGCATGGGCAGTGCAAAGCAGACACAACAGGGTAAGGAAAGACTGAGACATTTCCTCTTGTACTTGCTCCATTCTCAATGTATATTGAGACATTGCCCATCAAATTCTCCCTGACTTTGGCTGTGCTTTAGATAGAGCTGTATTTCTGCAGCTGAAGAAGTGGAGTCCCTCTTTGTTTTCTGCTATGACTCCATCCTGACCCAAAACTCCAATGACTTGGAATTGGTGGCTCATTTCTAGTGTTTGACAAAGGGACAGAAGTCATGGTAATAATGCTGAGTTGCAGAAAATTGGTAGCCATGTATGGAGGAGAGAGACAAAATTGTTTTCCCATTGAACATGAAACTCATATGTTCAGTTGGATCACTAGACACCAAAAATTCGCGTAGGCCATTGCCATGGGAAATCAGGCTTCCTCAGTACTGTTGCTCAAGAAGAGGTTTGTTTAGATTTTCAGATAGCCTTTGTTTCAGCACAGTGTTGTTTTTAGGTGTGTGTGATTTATGGTGGGAACTAGTCAGTGGTATTTTGTGTTCTGTTCTTGTTCACATATATGTTTAATTGCTTTGTTTTTTTCTGTTGTCAGTGAACTGAATTTTTATGACACTATAATTCCATGTACTTATGTGTGTATGAAAGTTGGATTGCTTAACAGTGAAATGCTACACGGACAATCTGTTTCCGTTTTAGAAGCAGATTCATGAATGCCTCTATTATTGCTAAGTGTCACAGCTCTGTGATATTAACAGCATTGAAATAAGCATGTAATTCTCAAATATTTTGTGAATTTTGTAAAGCTAACTAAAATGACCATATTTCATGTTAAAAGTTGTGGCCTAATAGCAAAGGTGCAATGTGTTGCAGGAAAAATAGGACCACCAAAACTGAATCTTTCAAGGCACGGTGATAAAATCATGATTGATATTTACCATCCTACATTTCCATCTGTGGAGCTTCTTCCATGGATCAGACAAATTTATTCAGAACTCACATACGTGGTGACTTTTTGGGATAGTAAAAATCAGGTAAGTTCCAAAATGAAAACTTCAAATTAAAATAACTTGTTTACCTTGAATGCATAAACAAGGGGTTCATTCCTGTGACACACAGAGCCAACAGATACCAAGAAAACAGTTGAACATAACATGGAACTACTGAAGCCCTATAATTTCAAGTGCATCACGGTTAGATGTGTGACTGGAAGGTCTGGATTTCAGTTGCCTAAATGGACATCTTATAACAAAAATGAGATTGCATTAGCTGTACAGAAGACAGAGTTACTTGATCCCATGCTGTTGTTTCTGCCTACATACTAAAACATTGGTAGCTTTACTTGTACTCCTTTCAGTTGTCTAGATAGACCTTTCATTTAAGAAGATTACCTTTCTAGATATTGATACTACTTTATTTAGCAATCATGGAGGGTGAACTTGAGGAAAACGATGGTAGGTATTTTTGTTTCGTATGCATCCAGGTACAAGTTTTACAAGTGAATTAGGAATGCGAATCTAGACCATGAATGGCACAAATTTTAGCTAAAAGCACCGTGGTCTGATCAAATAGCTTGTGAGCTGATAGCTAAAGTTCACATGGCTTTTGCAAGGCATATAGATGATGTAGGAGCCACATCTGACTGTTTTAACATTTTTGGAAGTGTTGGAAGGTACTGTAACTTTTATATTGTTGTACTGAGTCAAATGATATGTGACTTTCATTTTTTTGCAGAGTAAAGAATTGTACCCTGAAGACAACTGTACGATACATAAATGTATCCTCAGCATCCCAGTTTTTTGAAGGTTCCACTTACTGTGTTTCAGCGAAGGGAAGTTCATATGACAGTCTGATAGTTGGTGCCCCATCAACAGAAAGCTGCATTCACGTTCCTCTCAAGCCCACACTGAGTAAGATGATTCTAAAACTTTTAAGAACATACTGAGTCTGACTGGAGATCTGTTCTAGCTAAGTGTTTGAGCTCTGATGGAGCCATGGGATGGCTTGGATGCATCTGGAAGAATATGAAAAAAGGAAGAGCATGGTCATTCTTTTCCAAGTGCACTTACTGAGTTCTAAAGACCTTTAAAGATCATGTATTATTTTCAAGTAACCCTAAGCTTTTTTGGAGTGCTTTTCCTGCTTCTTTGGTATTATAAAACCTGTGTGTATTGCACCTGATCATTGGTATAATATACAAATGACAAATGGATCATTCACCAAGTTACATGGTTTTCAGAAACATTGTTTCTCTCTTCTAACAAACGCCTTTTTGCCCAGTCTCATCACTGAGGAAAATGTATATAGATTTTTTTGAAGCAACTGTAAACTTTTGGTCATAAAATTGAGGTGTTGATGCCTTTTTTTTCAGAAACATTGTTTCTCTCTTCTAACAAGCACGTTTTTGCCCAGTCTCATCACTAAGGAAAATGTATATAGATTTTTTTTTTTTTGAAGCAACTATAAACTTCTGGTCATAAAATTGAGGTGTTGATGCCTTTCTCTTAAAGAGAATAAGTTTTATATCTCTGATAACCTCTTACAAACTTTGTAATGTTACTTCATTATGGCCCAAAACTTTGCTAGAGAAAAGAGATAAAATTGATAGAAGCAGTTGTGTTCTTTGTTTTATGCACAAGAGTAGCAGTGTGATTGAAGGGGAGGACATTAAGGAGAGTCAGACTAGTGGAATCTTACTAGTAATAGTTAACAATTCTATGTTTTGGAAGATTTCACATTTTAATTTTATTGTACATAGACTATATGTAATTATTATGCCAGTTAATATGCTATCACATGGTGTCCTGGTTTCAACTGGGATAGAGCTAATTTTCTTCTCAGTAGCTAGAATAGCACTGTGTTTTGGATTCAGTATGGGTTTTGGTACGAGAAGAATGTTGATAATATACTGATGTTTTCAGTTGTCACTAAGAAATCAAGGGCTTTTCAGCTTCCCATGCTTTCCTAGTGTGCAGGCACACACAGCTGTAAAAGAGCATAGCAAGAGCAACAGACCCAAACTGCCCAATGGGATATTCTGTATCATAGGAAGTCATGTTCAGTGTCTAAATGAGGGTTGGCTGGAAAGCTCTCTCTCTCTTTTCTGGGATTGCAGTTTGGGGATTTTCTCTCCTCTGGGATCACTAGCTGAGAATGGGCTGGGTATTGGTTGGCAAGTGGTGAGCAACTGCACTATGCATCACCCGTTTGTATATTCTATTATTACCATTATTATTCTAATTTTAATTCACTTGTTAGATTGTTTTTACCTCAACCTACAAGTCTCCTTACCTTTACCCCTCCAGTTCTCTCCCCTGTTCCCTGTGTTGGTGAGGGTAGGCGAGCAACTGCGTAGTGTTTGGCTGCTGGCTGGGTTAAAACCACAACACATGGAAAACATACAAATCTCTTCATCCCCATCTACAATCTCTAAGGAACAAAAAGTTATAAAATTCCTTTAATTCTTTAAAAACATGATGTGTTTATATAAGTTGAAGATCTTCTGTCATTCTGATTTTTATTTACATGATATAATGCTTTATAAATTAAGTTTTCTTGAGTGAAAAAAGGTGGTAAATGAACAAATTCACCCATTACAGCTAAGCATTCTGAGCTATTACAGTTTCTGACGTTATTCTAAATGATATAGCAGTGGTTTATTTTTCCAAACTTCCTAACAGATTTTGCTCTAACTTCTTAGACACACAATATATCATCATTCTGTGCGGTGTTATTCTGAGCCTGGTTGTAATGTTGACAGTATGTTGTGGCTGCAAGAAACTAAGGAAGAAGAACGTAAAGCTGCCTAAGTCTTTGGTAAGTTCAGACTTCTTATCTGCATCAGATTTTTAATATCTAATAGGATAATGTCTTTACACCTGTCTGACTTTTTTTTTTACCAAGGTCTCATAGATGTTTAGGATTTATACTAGTCTAATATTCTGACAGCTTCTGCAACCAGATGCCTTGTATTTGTTTTAGGGCTAGACTTCAGTCTCTTTAACTGAAGTAGCAGTAGTTGGTCTACTTCGAGAACTTAGTTCTTAAAAACTCAGTATGTGTGTACATAGACAGGTCTATATTCATTCTGGGAGCAGAGACACAGGACCACAGAATCGCTGAGGTTAGAAGAGACTATTTGAGGTCATCTAGTCCAACCCTTCTGGTCAAGCAGGTTTTTTCCAGTTGAGTTTTGAATACCTCCAAGGAAGGAGACTCCACAACTGCTCTGGCCAACCTATTCCAGTGTTTTAACCACCCTCACAGTAAAAATTGTTTTCTTATCTTCAGATAAAATTCCATGTGTTTCAGTTTGGGCCCGTTTCCTCTTGTCCTGTTACTGGACACCTGTGAGATTCCTTCATTATGTGGTAATATTGTGATACTGCTAAGTGCTGCAATGTTCTTAAAGTGGTGTGCAGAGTAAGGGGAGGGAGGGAGTAATAGTGCTCTAGGAAGAGGGAAGAACAACTAGGGGAAATCTGTTCTCACATTGAGCAGACAGAGGGAAGAGAGGTCAGCAGCTGCACTACCTTAAAAGCTCCCTGTAACTGTCCTTAGGAAGCAGAGTGGATGTTCCTTAAAGAGCAGCATCACTCCTTGCTTTCACATCAGGCAAGAGCAGAGTATCTGACAAGTACTGTTATAATGTCCTCCTGATGTCTCATTAGTCACAGCACCTGAACAATCAGCAGCAGTTGAAACAGCTTTCAAGAACTGGCATGTGAGGCAGTAGTAAATGGTCATAGTATCATGAGTGTATCTTCTCAGCAGATGCAGGAGGCAGTGTTCTTCAATTCCATGTTCTTCAACACCCTTTAAAGTGACTCCTTCATAATGCAAGGGTAGCTCAGTGCCTAAGACTCCTCTGGAGCCTGCTTTCTTTGGAATAGAATATTAGAAGGTGAGATTGCTCTGACTAAATGCAGATAGCCAAACCAGTGATGCTACCTAGGTCCCTTTGTAGTAAGCAGTAATCCAGTTCATCAGCTTGTGTAGCACAAGATGATTCATGTCATTCTAAAATAATACGCAGTTCTGGCCAGACAAAACCTTCCCTAAAATGCCTGTTTCTTTCCATGGACCGTGACAGAGCCATGAGACTAGTTCAGAGATAGTCAGAGATAGCCATTCATACTGTAGACTTCAAAAAATCAGAAGAGAGAAACCTGTTGTGACAGGGTCTGCAGCTCTAGACTCCAATATCATAACACACAGGCCTGCAGAAAAAGTGAGACACTGGAGATTTTTTTACATCTTCACACCAGTATGTAACTGTCTGAATACATGACAGGATGTTCTAAATGCACACACACGGTAATTTTTGTGAAGAGTGTTCATTACAGGAAAAGTCAGCTCATCCAGAATGACAGTGCTCAATGGATCCATAGTTATTCTGGCTGCCTAGTACCACTTTGGTATTGCATCTAAGGATCAGGAAAAAGAATATTGGGCAAATAGAGTGTGGGCTCCTTAACTCCTGTGAGCTTCCTGATGCATGCTCCAAGTTCACACTTCAGCTCAGCTTGTAGAAACTCATTTGTGTGCCCATGTTCTCCATTTGCTGGGCTATATGTTACCTTGTGATTCCTAGGTTCCAGCGTACCATAGTCTGGTTCACATTCCACATCATGTTTTGTTGCTAAGTAACTGAATGAAACTTAGAACTATTTATAAAGATCGTTACCTGGGTGGTCAAGCACTGAGACAAGTTCCCCAGGGAAGTGGTCATGGCCACAAGCTTATCAAGGTTGAAGAAGCATTTGGACCATGCTCTTAAATGTAAAGTTTAATTTCTAGGTTGCCCAGAGTGGAGTCAGGAGTCTAAACTCCATGATCCTCATGGGTCCCTTCCAACTCAGGATATTCTGTGATTCTGTCAGTTTCCAGTGATGTCTCTAGTGACAAATATAAATTGAAGAGCTCATAAGAATAGTTTCAGTACAGGTGATATGAATAATATGGGAATGCAAAATGAATAATTAATAACTTATGAGTAAATATAGATTATTTTTATAATTAATAACTCAAAGTAATGAATAAATAATAGAAATAATAGAAATAATAAGTTTAATGATACGAAGTTATCTCTGTAGACTTCTGGGAGCTGAGGGCCTGTCACTGATCTTTGAATGTGTACTAGACATTTCTTTCCGTACAGGTTATTACCATTGTGCTTTACCTGAGCTTGTCTGAACATAAAACATCTAGGGAGTTTTTTTTCATCTGTTAAAAGGCTAGGCAAGGTGTCCTACCTTAGGAATGCTGCCTTCCAGTGATCTGCTTCCTGGCAGCTTTAAGTAGATGCTAAAACATCGTTTGAGTGACTTTCAGGAAGTTAGGATTCTCCAACAGAAGGAAAAATAAGAGAGAGTAACCATCAAGGAGCTGCCTTTGCTGAGAGTCTCATATACCCAAAGAAAACAAAATCCATTGCCATTTAGATCTCAAGAACTTTTATATTGTCTTTTCTATGCTGTTTGTGACTCCCAGGAATAACTTGTCAGTCATGTACAGGTCCTGCTTCCACAATGCAGCTGTCTTTCAGTATGGATATTGAATGATTACCTTAATTAGAGAAAATGTTCGTTTAAATATTTTGAACATCCTTATTCATAGCAGGATCCTACCAGGAATATGCATCTAGTGAAATGGGACAGATTGCTCTATGAGACTTCATCATGCTAGTTGTGTGCTGTGTCACAGGAATCTGATGCTTCAGCAGGCCAGCTGTAATTAAAGCCATTTCATTTATCTCACAAAAAGTGTTTCAAGAGGCCATCTCCTTCCACCCACCATCTTCAGTCATTCCAATTTGCCCCGTGTGTGATTTGTCCTGTACTAGATTTTTGTTGTAAGATTTGTGGTAAGGGTTTATCCACTTTAAAAGAAGCCTGGCCTTAAGTTACTGGTATGCTGTGGGCATCTCCCTCTGCTGTAACTTCACTGTTGGTTTTGGTTTTTTTTTTTAGTGCCTTTTATGTTTAAATGGTGGCAAATACTATTTTAGTGGGTAGAAAACACTCACTTTATAAGAGAAAGACTCATTGAAATGCATCAACTTTCATTTTCAGGTCATACTTAAGTCAACTTTTCTACTATCTGCTATGCTTTTTCTGAGCCTGACAGGAACAACAAGGCTGTGTTCTCTTGCTCTGTTTTTAGAACACTTAGGGATATTCACAAGACACCTAAGAAATTTCTTTGTGACTCTGGCTTTTTGATTTGAAGAAATTGTCATTGTTCCTGTAAATGAACGTCCTTAGGTTCTCATGTAATTTTAAAGATCTCTTTTTCCAAAGTTTACTTCCATCCCAGTTGAGACAGTTGCCACAAAATATTACAGTCATTGCGAGTTACAGTCATTAGCTGTAGAGTATGAAAGGTTTCTCTAGCTAGTTGAAGAGTATTAACAGCTTTTTCTTCCTTTGCTGTTTTCCTCTACATTGCAGGTTTCAAATGACTTAAAATACAGTGGGTGACATGAAATGGATTTGGTCCTTGCAAATGTGTTTATACATAGAAGGCATTTTTGCAAGCTTGCATAGAAGCGTTAGGGAAACAGTTGAAGTCATAGATACAGGCTAATGACCTTACCAGATCCTAATTTTGCTAATTTCTGTTGGGATTGGTTGTAATGACATTAAATTTGAATTACAAACTTGTATCTTTTTTTTTTTTTCTTCAATGTTTGAACTTTGACAGAAGATAAAGCTAATAAATTAATAAATTATGTGGAACTAAAAGTGATTTATTCTTTTTCCATTTAAGGTCAGTGTGATAAGAAACCTGAACACAGACAGCATTCTAGAATCAAAATCAGAGGCAAAATACCTATCTGTAATAAGCTTCATGCCAGGCCAGTCAGCGTTGCCGGTGAATGATGGAGTAACCTTGCTGGAACCAAAAGAAGAAACGGTTAGTCCTGAGAATTCCAGTGAAGGAGCATCTTCCATTCCTCCTCAAGAGCCACAAGCCAAAGCAGAAGAGGTGTCTGTGCAGGAAAGCACAGGGGTGGTACCTTCTGATGATGAACAGAATTGCAAAGTAAAAGAGAGTTATTTCGTTTCTGACAGTAGCCAGATGGATATATGCAGTAACTCTTCAGAGGTTTCTGACACAGAAATACGACAAACAGTCATACCAAGCAGCTGCCTCAAGTTTTCTGGCTATGACAAGCCTCATGTTCCATTAGATATGTTGATAGATGTTGGCGAAGAACAGCCTGTGATTGCTTACAGGCCGACTGACTAACCAGGACAGCTGAAGTGTTTAACCGGAACTCAGGAAGAACAGCATTACTGAAGATTATGGAAAGTCTGGGTTATATTATGAACATCTACAATTTGTACTTGTTCTGATCCAACCAGAGTAACCAGTACACAACTTAGTACAGTGGGATCTGGAAATGGGACTGAAAGTAGTGCCTGAGAACAGCATAAAAAGTGGGCGGAAATTTAATAATAACCGCTTTTAGAAGGGTGTATGACTTAACTCACTGTTTCCTATTTGAAACAGTGCTGTTTCTTTAAAAGTACTCTATGGAGAACAGACTTCATGAGGGATTATAAAACAGCAGCTGTATCATTATTCCCTTCTGTTTCAAGTCCTTTTCAAAATTAATTTGATGAACATAACGCTTAAGAAGTCCTTCACTTGATTATGATAGAGTTGTGCAAGAAATATTTGAGAGTTTTTGCCTTTATTGAAGGTATTCTCTTGCTTGCCTTTTTCTCTGGAGTATTTTTGTATTAAATGAAGTGCTACTATTTCTTTTAACTAAGAATATACCTGTAACCTTTTCCTTTGTATCTTAAGAATTTGATTCCATGTCCAAGAACCAGTTAGTTACAGCCTTTTCTGCAACTAGAAGTATGTACTTCCAGGACCGTTATTTTGTACATTTCAATGAGTAAACGATAGACTTCTTCCTTTGTAAGGTAGCTCCTGTGACTAAGAAAGCTGTTTTTAAAAGCACTGTTATTTGTGAATAGCTGCATCTCCATTTGGATCACCTGGATGTGTTGTGTTAGCGTGTCACATTCTGGATAAGCAATGCTGACTGATCATCATTGGGAGGGGAAGTGTGTGACCAGTGGTTGCACAAATTGTTTAGAAAATTTTCAAAATTCAAAAACCTGCTTTCCTCTGGAGCATTTTTATCCTAATTTTTAGAACAATGTAATTTTTTTTTTTTTAATAGAAATCAACAGGATTTCTTCTAAACATTTTTTCTAGCAGGTTGGAAATTACTACAGTTTTTCACCTTTTTATCATATAACTCAGGAACTACACCAAATTATTACCTCCCTCTAAATATACATCTCAAGACAATAGAAAAGTAGTGTGGTAAATTATAATTCATAAGTTACTATCATCTGACAGACCTCTGAATTTTGTAGCCTGAGATTGTAGCTCTGAAAACTGAAGGATGAGGCTTTTATTTTTATATGTAAAAACTTTTGAGTCTATTGAGCCTGCAATACAGTTATTTTCATTTAGTCAAGATTTGATGGGTATTTTCTGTTTGTAGGAAATGTTTACAAGAGTCCTTAGTGAAGCTTAATTCAGAAAAAAAGAGGATGTTTCACAAATACAAGGTGGTGCATTTTTATACAAGATTATGTCTTTGTTTTAAAATAGATTTTTTTGTAGGATTATCAGAAATGTTTGCATGTTATAGCAAGCGGTTTTAAAGGAAAACCAGTATCACAGTATTTCTGTCCTTACGTTTCTCAGTGGCATGACTATTCCTAAGATAAAATTAGTTTATGCAGCAGTTTCTGGACTGCTTCCATTCCTGCAGATATCAGACATTAACCACGATGGTACATACTCAATTCCCAGAGATTTAAAGACAATAGCTGTTTTCCCCTTCTCTACTCACCTGACGATAACAGATCTGTTAGCAGGGTTTTGGTAATTTTAGGAAAAGCCAAATCAGACAGTGAATTTTGTAGTTATGGTGTGATGGAAAGCCCAACTAAAAAGATTTCAGTGTGTATTAGCAGACTTTGATTTGTTTCTGCATTATGTTCAAATGTAGTGAGACCCCCTAGTAACTTTCTCAGTGTCGTATTCTGTGTTGAGTTCCTAGAAGGCAATGCAGGTGACTTAGTGCTAGGGATGCACTAGTGTGTAGATAGCTCCATTGCAGAAGTGCAGAAAGTAACTCCTAGTGTTACAAGAAGGCTTTGAAAATCGGAATTAACTTGTACTTGAAACTCTACCTAAACTGACTTTTCAGTTAATAATATGCTTCACCTCTGAAGCATGCTTCTGTCTGTTTAGGAGATGAGCAGCTGTGTCTTGTGCAGAGCTTGAAATCTTCGTAATTTCTTTCAGGTTTTGTAGGTTTGTTGGTAAATACAAACCGCAGTAAATACCTTGGGACTTTATGAATGTCAGATGAGTGTTTAAGTTAAACTTGGTTCAGAAGGGAGAGATAGGGTGTTAGAAACTGAGGTTAGTTTGGTTTTTGGGAAAGAAGTTTCTGATCAGACAGTTTGCCGAGTATCTTTGCTGAGAGTTATTTTACCTTCTTGCAATTGGGAGCTTGTTTTCCTTCTGTCAACTTTGTCCAAAAAAATGTTGCTGTTCTCCAAGAAGATCAGGAATTAGCCATAGTAGTCATTTCATTCAGTATATCTGCCTCAAAACTGTTTTGCCAGAATTATATAATTTCTTGGAAATGTTGGATTTACTTTCTTTACAGTGTGTGAAAACCTGGTGCTGTTAGAAAAAAAACTATTAACTAAGACTCAGCCTCTTAAATTTGTGTGGAAATAAGAGATCACTAAGTGTTTTCTGTTCTGGAAGGGTTTTTTTTTTTTTGCTGCCACACTGGAAGAGGAATGATATTTTTTGCCTGTGTGAGGGCAGATAGATACATTTTTAAACCCAATGACTGTCTGGGATTCTTTCTCTTCCCCCTGCAATACTACTACATTGTACATTGTCCTGAATCTTTCAAGTCACATGGAGTCTATGTGAGTAAAAGGGATCAGCCAGGTGCTAGGATATGATTAGGGACAGGGATGTTAAGGTTGATCAGAAATGACACAGAAATATATTCTGAGCATATGGGAAAAATTTGGCATGGTGGGTATATGTGTAATGGAAAGGCAGTGTTACTCTGTAAGCTGAAAATCAAGCACAGGAATACGAGTGCTTTGTGCTTTACAGCTTGTATATGTATATATGTGCAGAACTGACCTCTTCTTGTAGCTATCACAAGGTTAAATGTATTTTTTTAATGAAAATTTCTGAACCCTAATTGCAAAAGCCACAGAATTATCACCTATCCTGCAGGTTTGTCTTCTGTGTGCTGTGTGCTTAACACACAGCCCATAGCAGGGGGTGTTTAAATTGCAGGTTTTATAAGTGTGAAATGAAGTTTGAGGGTGCAGAAAGTCACCGCTGTGACTAGCTGAAAATGTGAGGCCACAGTGAGATAAGGATGTGTTCCCTGGGTCAATAAGCTCTGTTTCTCCCAGTCTTGTTTCCAGCAGTTGCTAGCACTGGTATTAAGAGAGAGCCTAAACCAGGGCAAGTGCATGATGGTATTTCTGCTAGGATACGATCCAGTACATGGAAATGCCTTTACAGCTGCAGCTAGTTAGCCTGGCTTTTGCAGTTCTGTGGTACCAAATATTTGAACCATGTCATTTGGAAGCTGTCAGGTAGTATTAATCTATGCATTTGCACTTAACTACTAAATGAGTTTAATAAATTAATATTATTGTGGTTAAGAAATAATGTTTTTAAGCTTCTGGATATTAATGTGTAGCACCTTGACAAAGGATATTGAAGTACCTAACATTTACAGATTCAAAATCATTTAATATTCATGCTTTTCACAGATATATCAGCTATCCAATATGACACACATAGAAGGTTTCACCACTTCAAGCTGTAATTTTTACTCTTGTCATGTCTACTCAGCATTCCTCCCGTTCTGTGCCGTAAAGGTGATTTGGGAGATGATAGAATATAAAACTCCATAACATTATATCCTGTGTTAAGAGAAATTGCATCACAAAACTTTGGCCTAACACCTGACATCATTTCTAAGAACTTCTTTGGTTCTTATTTTTGCATGGACATTGTAACTTTTTATTATCAGATGCGCAATTAAAAATGAAGTATTGTGGTAATGCTGCGTGCTGGCACAGAAGCATCAAATATTCTGGTTTTATGGTTTTTTCCACATAAATCAATAATATTATGTTTTTTCCACATAAATCAATAATGTAGTTTAAAAAAAATCATTCTTGTCAAATCTACTGACTTTGATGGAAACAAGACATCTTGTAGTGTCCCAGTTGCTTGGAACAGACGTGCATATTTGTATGTAGCCCTTCACTAGTTAAGACTGCAGGAAAATAAACTTGCATGAGAAGAGCTGTTTTTCTCAAGGCAAGGAATAACTGTTTGCTCTGAAGTGGTGCCATGTAAACCGTTTAGTATTAATAAATAAGAGCTTGGTTCAGATTAAGAGATTCAGCATGTCTTAAAAAAGAAAACCAAACAAACACAAAGCATCTTTCATCTTATAAGTGACCTGCAGAGATTTCTTTAGTGTGTTTTTTAAAAATTCAGTTCTTTAACTATGAAGCCCTTGTTTATTAATGCACTTTCTGTATTCTCTACGTGGATGCAATCTTTGGGCTAGGTGGGACCTCCAGGGCTCTGTTGTTCATTCTTCCCCCCAGAACTGCATTGTTCCTCCTACATGTTTATTTAGACTCCACGCCCCATCAGGCAATTTATTCTAGGAGTTCCTTTACCCCTAGAAAGTATTTTGTAATGTTAATGTAAGTCTTCCTGGCTTTAGAAACTTAATTATCCACTGTGGGTGCACTGAACATACTTTGGTTCTTGTCTGAAATTTGTAAGTAAACAACTTGTAAATACTGTAAATTGTAAATATTTTTACATTTAATGAAAAAATCTCAGAAGACAAATGTGTGTGCTCACCTCTGTACTGAAGACTAAATCTGCTTTTGAAGCTTGCTTAGTTCATTTTATGTATGTAGTGTATGCTTGAGCATTATTGAAAATTAATAGAAAACACTTGGTGGGACATATGTATAGCATGTATGTGTGTGTATGTAATTATATATAGCCAGTTACTATATTCTACTTACCAGATGTATTAGCATGGAGGAGAATTAATTTTAAACTAAGGTTGTTTCTCATTTGTTGAGGTACCCTTTGGGTGAAATACCCTTTACCCTAGGCAGCGGTGGAAG